ACWTTTGGACTCTGATGTGACAGCAATCTGAGAGGTATGAGCTTCCTATAATTCCTATAATTCTGCAAAGAACCTGGATCCAAGTAAAGGGTATGCCTGCATAATACCTTATTTTTTTTTTAAGGATTAAGATGAAKAAATTGATTTTTTCATCATATATGTAATAATGGAATTGTAATACCCATCATAAGCATTTCAGAAAGAGTTATTAAAGGCTTTACTTGCTAAGCTATCTCAATACAGTGCCCCATAAGAAGAAATAAGGTTCTTGAACAGGTTGCCTTCCTAAGACAGCATTCAGTTTCTTGATCAGGAAACACTTCCAAAAATACCTCCTTCAAAAAAAGAAATAAATGAGACTATATATATATGTATATGTGTATATATATATATATGTGTGTGTGTGTGTGTGTGTGTGTATATATATATATGTATGTGTGTGTGTGTATATATATGTATGTGTATGTGTGTGTATATATATATATATATATATATATATATGTATGTATGTATATATAAATATGCATAAATACAACTGTAGAATTAAACTAGAATTGAACTAAAATCCATAATGGAATGTATGTTGTCACAATGTGGGGATAAAGCAAATGAAGAATCAACATATGGGGCTCCAACACAGAAGAAAATTAGAGAGCAAAAGCMCTCACATTCATATTATGACAAATCATGACCTGTAATGACTCAGAACACTGCTCTTTCAAATGAACWCTGAAAATTTGGAGCACCAGACAGTCATCTCAAAATATCCAGTGAAACAATAATTTGCTCTTTTTAAGCAAAGAACTCCTCTGATTGSAAACTGAACAGAGCCAACGTGGTAATGTTTGCCTGAATCTGCTCACAGCTTGAGACCAACAGCCTGGGGGAGATGGACTCAACAGTACATTAGATCCAGAGAATATTTTCAGGTACACTTATAAGGAACAAATTCCACCAGGGAGAGTCAACCAAGGTCCCAGCAGGTCAAATTGCACGCCCCAAAAAACAAATTCTCAGTCACAAGCTTCTAAACAGTGGGAACTCAGGGGCCAGATCAGTTTTTATATATTCCCTGCATTAAAAAAAAAAAAAAACAAAAACAAAAAAAAACCCCAAAAAGTAATGTTTCATCACATTCCAAATGTGACCATAAGAATGAGTTAAAGTCTTCTGTGGTTTACAGATCATTACCCACAAAAACAAGAGATGACCTCTGTGCATTGCTGCACTTGAATGTTCTGATGCCCAGGCCAAATTCCTTTTTCTTCCTAAATATTCACTGTTATTGACTTGTTAGAGATGCATACATGCTTCAAGGAAATCACTGACTATTTTAAAACTGTCCTTCCCGATTATACTGTGATAGTTTTAGGAATCTTTTCTGCTCACATTTKAAAGCTATCACTTAGAAATACCTTTTTTTAAAGCACACATTAGTTAATTTTATTTTCTGAACCATTACAYGACTGTTGGCCTTAGCAATGTTGAAGGAGTGATATCAGATCCAAATGGGACCTATTTGTGAGCAGAAAAGTTATGTTGGGTCTGTTCCATTGGAGTGATGTCCAGACCTCTCTAGGGCCCACATATTCTATCTGCAACCTTGAGTGAATTCCTAAACAAAGTACAATCAGTCCAGGTCCCCACAGACCTAAATTCAAATTATTTCAGAAATCTGTTGTTTCTCTGAGAGCCAGTGACACTTCTTAAGGTTSTATCACTCCTATGCCAAAAGTCCTGGTTATGAAAGAAATGAGGTTTTACACACTGATTATAAATTTTACCACATGACTTACTGATTCTGAAGGAAATAAACACAAAGAATTTTCTAATGAAGGATAAYTAAAAATTACTGTAGGAACTGACTGGTTGCCTCCTCAGAAATGCAGGAAACAATGGGGAGAGAAGAAAGGTCTAGGGACAGGAAATAGGGAAGCAAAGAGTGACCAGGGAGGCCGTGTCCCAGTTGCTTTCCATCAGTTGTCAATCCTGTCAAGCAGCCCTGACACTCACACAGGTTGTTCCATGTCATGTTTTCTCCATATAATATCTTGCCAGAGATTTCCACTGCCATAAAAATCATATTTTTTCGAATGGTATGTGGAGCTCCTCAGGAGTGCCAAAGCCASGCTGAAGAGGCAGCTGTAGGAACATTCTGCAGACATCGTCTTACAGGAAAGGYGAACAGACACAGGAATTAGATGTCTTGTTTTGGTAGCAAAATTCCTCTGGGAATATTCCTAAAGGTATCAAACACTTAAAGGAACTAACTTCTGGCTTTCACAGATGACTTTGTCCTGGACAAACAGTGGATGAGAACAGTCTGGGGTAACAGGAGAAATGTTTTGCATCCTAAGATTATTACAGTCCAGCTTCYTTCTGTCTGCATGTTCCAGCCTAATGTTCTGGCTGAGAAGCAGCACAGCTGGCAGTTAGCTCTGCTGTTTGGTGAGAAGGGAGCAGAGAAGTTTATTCCATGCTGTTAGGGCACAGGGACACCGAGTGCAGCCACGTAAATACAGCCCTGGGAGTCGAACTTTGGCTGCTCTGACACTGCTGGGTGATAAGAACATTTCATCTCTCTGGAAATGCACTAATATTTCTAACCAGGAAACATCCAAGCAGCAGCCACAGAGGAGCGGGGACACAAACTGTCTGTGAAAATCAATGAGCTAAGGGATGGAGAGGATTATTTTAACAGCACTTCCAATGTCAAAGCACTAAAGATGGCCTGGGAATGTGTCTCAAAATAGCACTCAGACAGCTTTAACCGAAGCAGAAGTAAACCTGGTTTCCTTCCTTCCTATTTTTAAGTTTTGTATATGACTAATTTATCCTGTTCCTTTCCTTGTTTTTGTTTGTTTTTTTTGTTTGTTTTGTTTTGTTTGTTTGTTTGTTTGTTTTTTTGCTTGTTTGTTGGGTTTTTTTGCGGAAATAATGCTGGAGGAGGGAGGAAAAAGGTAGTTTGCAACTAGCAGAGCAGTGTTTTATTTTTCAATCTTTTCTGATAGAATCCAACTCATTAGGGTCCTGAATGGAGCTTTAATACAGTTGAAGTACAAGTGTGCATGTGAGCATGTTCATGGGCAAATGTGTATATGTGTGTGTGCACAGTGATCAGTCACGAGAGTCAGAACACAAGAGAAGATAAAGAGAATAACCTGGTAGCAGCAAAAGACAGTTTGGACTGGAGCAGTTCAATTATTCAAGATTGGAACAGCTCCATTGTCTTTTATTTGCCTGATTTCTCAAGGTTCCCTCTCCACACTCCCTCTAGTGTTCTTAAATTCACTTGCATTTACTCACCCCTGCTGTATTCACTTAGCATTTCACACAACATTAAGTTGTTAATTTTCCTTAGCCTTTCCATAACCTACAGGAGAGTCACTGAAAGTTAGACTAACTTTTATGAGTATTTTTATCCCTGCAAGGACAGAGGAAATACAAATTTACAGGCAAAAGAAAGAGTAAAGTGTCAAATTAATTCTGAGACACCAATTGGTACTTTGTTGGTGAGTAAAGGGGACAACTTGGTGTTGAGAAAGAAGGAAGAATTGTTTTCAATACTTTTAATGAACAGTTCATCGGTAAAGAAAAAGAAAGAGAGTTGCACTGARACACCACTTACCTGAGTCTCTTCCTGCTATTCTAGCAAATACACAAACTCCCTCCAACAAACACACACTGATTACTTCAAGTGTTTTAAAAAAAAGTGAATGAGAGCAAGATTCTCCTGGTCATCTCCACATTTCATGGGATGCCCTGAAGGCACRGTAATAACACATATTTTCTGTTCATCTCATGTTTCAATAAAAGAAAGAGAACAAAGGGGACACTGGATTAATATGCTATTTWAAAAAAGGAAACAGAGATAAGTTAATTCCCTCTAAAGCAATTAAATTTTGTTTCTCCTTTATAACTACAGTTGAAGTAYTTCTTTTACATTACCCATGGCCACAACTGAAGACTAAAAAAGGCCTAAACAATTGTGAAAATGAAATAAAAGCTCTATTCCCAGAGCTTGGGAACTGGTTTTGCAGGGATTTAAGACTGAAACATCTAGAAAAAGCACAGACTCAAAACAAACAAAWCCCACMAAATATCAGAGTGAAGCTGGTGAGATTCTCCCACCTTGCCCATCAAGTAAAAACTTAAAAGAGAAAGAAAGAAACATGAGAAACTTGTGTCATGAGTAATTTGTGATCTTCTATCCATTACATCAAATACTTGGCATCTCTGTACTAAATGGCAAACATTTCTGCAAACTCTTGTTCTACAGATAAAATACTAACCAAAATATTTTAATCAGAGCAAAGGAAGTRTAATAAGAAAATTAAAATAGATAAAACTGTATTTCAGATCAATCCATGAAAATGAACAACCTTTACCTGCAAATATGATGATTTACCACAAAAGCTACAGAAGAATCACAAGAGCTCAGTCACTGTGTAATAGAAAGTTGTGCTTTAACTCTAATAGTTCACAAATATGTCAAGTTACATTTGGATATTTCCGACAATTATTTTAACATATCACCAATTCCATACAATTTAAAAGGCAGAATCTTCTCAATATTCTCCCCCAAAATATCGCAGTTGACCCCCAGACACTGACCCACCTTTCCATGTTAAAAAACTGATTCTTGTCAGTCTATGTGTTTATACCCACAAATTCATTGACATGTTTTGAAAAATGTAGAAAAAATGGTAACTCAATATAATCAATTTCTGCTCAATGCCCATTTTTGATTAATAAAAGAAATGTAGGTTTGGACATCATAAACTTTTAAATTATTCCATAACTTATGTTTGTTTCAGTATTTTCTATGTAATTACAATGTACAAATATCTGCTAAAGCTCAGTAACGCTGAATTATTTGCTTATAGCATGAAGTTATCAAGTCCCAATTGTTACACTGAATTAGYACATTCCAGCAGCAGAAAGCAGGTTCACAATGAGTATTTCCACCACAATARTTTTGCTTTATCATGCAAACTTACAGTGCTGTCAATGTAGGCTTCAGTCCACACAACATCGTGCTCCTGGTCGATGACCTTTGGTCGGCTGAGAACGTGCAGATATTCCATCACGTTCTCTTGCACATCAGCTAARGTAGAGATCTGAGTAAAAAACCCTGTGAAAATACACAATTCAGAGTCATAAACCAGAGAGAACAAATTAAAGAAGTTGTCAAGAAGGAGCATCATGTGGTTTATGTCTGTCATATATTCTGCTCATTTCTAAAAAAAAAAAATGCAAAAGAGGAATATTTCATCAGAAGCAGCCTCAAACAGTAATAATTGGTGAAAATGGACACCTCAGACACCTTTGCCCACCCCTCAAGGACCAGGTTTCCAACACTGCTGTGAACCACTGCAACTCTCTGAACTTTCCAGACCACTTTTTTGTTTAATGGTTTGTGCTTTTTCCTTTTAATGCTGCCTACTTTAAAATATAGAACTGTTATTGTCTTTGACCAATTACATCTCATGCACTTAGCCCAGTTTCAAGAAACATGCAGCAGAATAGTAGCTCAATGTGCTCTGAAACATTCATTGCTACTGAATGAAAAGAAGAAGCAATATATTATTGACAAATATGGCAGGCCTCAGAAAATATAGACTACAGCTAGAATTGTTTGGTTAGGTGATCACACCCTTGGTAATCCTTTAAAGCATCTCCTCCAACATGAGCACTTAGAGCAGCAGAGGCCTCAGCCATTTGAGCTGTCACCACTCCCTTTTCAGTGCCTTTTAGATGTCAAGCATTTTTATCCATCACAAACATGGCATGTGGAGCCCACATCACACAAGAGTGATGAAGGACTGGAAATTTTAAGGCTACAAATTCATCAGGCCTCATTGAAACGCATCACTTGCCTTCATTTACTTTCTGTTAATGAGAAAAGACCAACAATTTTAATCACTTGACAGGATCACAGCTTCTGTGGAGTTGGAACACCAGGTTTTAGTGAGCTTCAGCAGAAAACATGGCAGCTGCAGAGAACTTGTGAGCTGTGTTTTTGTAGGGGCCAATTTGGGCAAGATTGTAAGAGTGCTCTGTAATCACAATCTAGAACTTTCTGAAACAATAGACAGGCCCATAATCCATGCACTGCACTCATTTATCTATGTGTGAGTTAAGACACAGGGAAAGAACAGACATTATAGCAGAAACAAAATGAAATGTCATAATATTAGTCTAATTCATATCTTCAACTTAATAATAAAAAGCAGAACTGAAAGAATCTTTTGATGTTCTAATGAGAAAACTCTACCATAAGTTACTATGTCATAGCTAGGATGATTCATTAATATGCATTTAGTTATTTTTTACCTCATATGTATATGTTTTTTGACAATTCATGTGTTTCTAGCCACATGTAACTCCAAAGAATTACCTTCCTACACTGCTAAGCTTTACATCTCTTATCTAGAGAGGAGAGAAATCCCATGGAATTAAAACCCACCCTTACTGTTCCTATGCCAAGGTTTAACCAGCAGATAAACACTTGCTCTGAAGTTCTTGAGCGCAGCTGCTGAGGCCATGTCAGCAACTGCAGCAAAGCCATGCTTCAATTTTTGCATTCCAGCACCTGCTCWCAGCTCCCTGGCGTGTGCATTATTCCACCTCAGAGCCCACTCACAGTCAGCACTACCTTTTTTACTCCTCAGCAGGAAAAAAACTCGTGAAGGAAAAGGGTAAGATTCGGTAATGACAAGCATAAGAGATGTATAATAATGTGGTAAGAGACAGACACTTATGCTCTGCATGTGGGCTGCCTTTCCCTATTATACAGTCCCTGAAATGTTTTTTGGATGTTTTTCTCTAAAATGTCCACCATTAGCCTGATAACTTTGCAAAATGCCTCAAATTGATTTTTACATGCAGTGCAGTACTTTGTGCTTCCTGGGCACTGAGCAAAAGCGATGCAATACTCTCCCAACTAATAAAACAGCAGAATTTGAAAATCCTCTGGGTAGGGACAGAGGAGTGAATTCATYGTTTCAGTGCAGCTGTAAAACTCCCATGGAGGTTTCCCCTTTTCCCCCCAGGAGCACTTGAACAGGTCACTGGCAGCTCATCACCAGACAGGAGGGGCTGGGATCACACTGACGATGGATGGGGATGATGGGATGGGATGGGATGGGATGGGATGGGATGGGATGGGATGGGATGGGATGGGATGGGATGGGATGGGAT